ATGAAATTTAAGGGATGGCTTCCTTAGGAAAAAAACAAAACCTTTACCCTCTATTTGGGTAAATATGTGAGAACTCATAAGAAAAGCAGACATTCAATTAAACAGAAGAACCACTATCAAGAGCCAATGCAGCTGAAAAATGGTTAATTTCTTTTTGGTTTTTATAACCCATAATTAATTACAAATGTAAGATAGAGCCCGCATCAGCAAGCTCTGCCTGGACAGCCTCAGATTGTTTCAATACAGCTAGTGCTAGAGACAAGTTAAAGAATTAGCTGAAGGTTCTGGCTTGACTGTAGGCATGTCACAGCATGGGCACTTGTGAGCACAAAGTCAAAAACATCTTCAAAGGCAGAGGAGACCATGGGTCCGATGATGGATAAACAGGAGGGAGAGGACTTGTAAATGGATCCTTTGCCTAGAAAAGATGGAAACAGTCTAGTCAAGGCAAACCAAACCAGGCCAGCAGAACCTTTAGAAACACCAACTCAGCCACTCTGAGATGAGAAAAAACGTGGCTATAGCCACCCAAATTTTAAGTCTATTTCTGTTTCTTCAGGTTTGGTCTTTTTCTTGGCTGCTTCTTTGTTCTCGGCACACTATTCTTAGTACTGGCAGGGGGCAGTTTGAGAGTTATTTCATTGTCCTCTGCATCACCGTCCACCTGATCAGCTCTCCGGCGCTCGAGCACTGTTGGAGTACAGACTGGGGTAGGATCCTGAGGAGATCAAAAAAACATAATTCACTGCAAAGCCTGAGAGAGTCTCCACAAGGCACCTCAGTCCAGCTCTCCTTAACAACTTCAACATTAGGGAAAACGGTTTTCCTTTTATAAGCAGCTATTTTTGCAGACATTATTTCTTCAGACAAAAGCATCAACTTCAAAAGGTATATGCGAAAGGCAAATTAAAGTAATTCACATCTTCTAACATGTCAATTTGCACATTTGCTTTCTAAACTTCGTATTTCCTGACTCAAAGCACCAAGAAGAAAAGAAACAGGGGAAAAAGAAACTCACAACCAAACAAACAGAAATGCTACGTTCAAGCCCACAGCAGAGCCAAAACATTCCAGTTTCAATACCTCGGTAAGTTCCCAGAACTTAGTTGTCTGAATGTAGGAGTTATGCTGTTGCACTCACAACCAGTCCCATCCCAATTACCACAAATAAATCCAGCAATATTAAAAAAAAACAACAACACAAAGCCAAATTCACAACAATGATGAAACAAAACAGAAATGGCAATACTTTACAGGCAGTTTAGACTGCCACTATCCCAAATCTCAGTCCTGATGACCTCAGCTTTCATCTTACTGCTACTTCTAACTGGCATTAGTTTTCAATATACTGGAATACCATGCCTGGAGAGCATGAGGGAGAAGGGACAGTGCAGCATGCAAACGGGGACTGACAGCACTACACTGTGTTAATGGTTCAACTTCCTTTTGGTCAAAACAGGTTCATACTATAACATACCACAGACCAACAGAAGGATGCCAGCAAAGAGAGACTTTGTACCAGTTTAAAGCACGGGCATACAGGGTTTAGAGGTGACTGCCCCCAGCACCCTGTGTTTCTGTAGCTTCAAGTTATTGCTGAATAGCAGGGTGCCTGGACGCACAGTGGGATAAGCACTGCTAGTTACAATATGCTGAGAAGAATCCTTTGCTGCTAAATGTTCCCATGGGAGAAAGAACTGAGAAGATCCAATCACCCTCCCCAGTTCAGGAGTGTTAATACATCCAGAAGGAGCTACTTTTGACACAAAAATCAAGCAAACAATGTCAAGGTTTTCAGGTGTTGAAATTAATACGAAGATACCAGCTGCAGACTTGAAACATTTACCCAAGTGTGAATGGCAGAGCACGGTGCTGGGCACCACGAGGACTGTGGGGTCTTACCTGGCTGCTCAAAGAAATGTCAACTTCTGACTCCTTGGATGCTTTAACTTTCTTTCTCTTTAAGGAATGCTCCTGTGCAACCTAGGAAGCAAGACACTTCAGGTGTGGGTCACTACAAACACCCTTGTGTGAAGACACAAACAGTCACTTAACAGTCTATGGGCTTCGTAACTACAAATTTGCTACAGCAATTAGGTTTCAATGAATAAAATGACTGACAGTGCTGCAGGGGTGAACTGGTTTGAACTAAACCACCCAAACAACATAAGAAAAGCTGCTAATGTGAATTTAAAATAATACCATGTTAACAGCACTGCTTAAAATAGAAGTACCTCACCCAAGCACTCTGCAAACCAGCACTATGCTTGGCTGGGGTAGGCAGGGTCTGGGGATAGACCTGCCATCAAATGCCAACACTGCCAAAGCATCCCACAGGGCTTGGGCTAAGCGCTGTCACTCTTCTGTGGTTTGCAGTCAAACAGTAAAATCACAGAACATTGAACTGTTCGTATTACCAGAATAAAAGGAATGTCTTCCCCTTGCTGTTATTTGCTTCTCTAAAAGTAAACCCACACACAGGGTACAACCCAGCAAGACCACTACAGTACTTTCCAGGAGCTTTTATACAGTTCTTAGCACAAGAACATCTCCCTGGTGCTCCAGCCCTTTTATCAGTTCTACACAAAACATGTAGTTTTGTTGTACTGAGCACAGCAAACATGATGTGCATAAAACACTCACTGAAACGATGTCCAACTTACAAATCCTGGGAAGTCGTAATCGAGCCCCTTTTCAGCCAGCCTCTTCCGTAAGAGTTTCTCCTTCCGCAGCAACCGCTTTGTCATCTTTGCCTTCTGAACAAGTGAACGTATCCTATTGTACCGCCTGACCGCGGGCTGGGACGGCTTCCGGAATATCTTGTTGCTGTTTTTGAAGAGGTTTTCATGGACCCTTTCAGGAGCCATGAACTGACCTGTACCATGAACATATGACATTAGGTTAGAGCAGAGCTACCCTGCTTACCACACGCACCCACATAACCCTGACTAGCCCTCATTATAACATCATCCACTCCTACTGCAGAGCACTTGTACCATGTTTTGTGAATATAGAACATGGAAAGTAACTGAATACCCACCAGTAAGAGAACTGGGGACGGATGGATGGAAAGAGCACGTTTTTATTTTCACCCAGAAAACAGATAAACTTGTTTTTCAAAAGTTGCTGCATATGTATCGCATAACCCTCTCCAAAGCAAGTGTTACTGTCACCATGCCTGAGGAACTCCCTAAGTCGATTAATATTTTAATAAAAAAAGCCTCTTGTGTCTAACTACACCGACACAGTTACAAATTATAAGGAATTTCCACATTACAGCAACTGTCTCTGCAGAAAAACCCACCACTCCCTCAGATTGTGTTGCAAAATTACACAATGAGCATTATCAGTCTTGAGCAAAACAGTAGCAGTGACCAAAAGCCTGTGTTCTATACACATGCAGAGAACGAAGAAAAACTCAGCCCCGCAGAAAATCACCTTACATTTCAGCTTATACTTACACTTCAGCAGTCTTTCAGAAAACAGGTAGTTGTTCATTGTGTCTGCAACAATTTTGGCCACATCGTCAGACTCAAACTCTATAAATCCATAGCCTTTGCTATTTCCAGTCTGTGAACAATGACAGAAAGAAATACAAGCCAACGTTTTAATAACTGAAGAACTGTCGCAACCCATTCTCAGCTGACCACAAGTAAGTTCAGAAAGATGCAAGGACGTTTCCCACTAGACCAGGTTGCTCCAAGCCCTGTCCAGCCTGGCCTTGAACACTGCCAGGGATGGGGCAGCCACAGCTCCTCTGGACAACCTGTGCCAGTGCCTCGCCTCCCTCATAGTGGAGAGCTTCTTCCTGATATATAATCTAAATCTACCTTCTTCCACTTTAAAGCACCGGATTTAATCCTGAATCAGCATATGCATATGAAACAAACTGTTCGTCAATACCTATTTACAAAAAAGCTGCCCTGTATCATTGTCATTCTGTGATTGTCACCAAGGTCACCTAGCAATATTATGATACGATGACAGACTCAGAAATTAAAAGTAGTTAAACTTATTGAGCATAAAACACCACGAAAGCTAAACCGGAGTCTTTCCCATCACATTCCACGTTGCAGCTTGAACTAGTGTACTGTGGCAGCACTTCTCACGCAAGTGTATTTACTCACAGAAAAAAATGGGACTACATCAAGCCCCGCTGAAACCGCCTGTCCGCAGCGCAGAAACAACTAAAGCCGCACGCGCCACCAGCCCGGGTCCCATTTCGGAACCATTACTCCGGAAACCACCAACCCGAGCACGGAGCCCCCCTCTGCCCGCTCATGGAACTGCAGCGGCGGCGCCCTGCTGCCCGTGAGAGGCAGAGCTCCCCGAGGCGCGTTACCTTCTTGCTCCGGGAGAGGCGGAGCCGCGTCACCGTCCCGAACTGCTCGAAATACTGGTATATCTGCGGCTCGCAGAGCCCCCGCGGGAGGTGCCCAATGTACACCACGCCCGGCGTCAGCTCCTCCTGCGGGACACAGCAGCGCGTCAGGCCACGACATGACCTGCCCCGCCGGGCCGCCCCCGCCCCGCGCCCGCCTCCGCCCCGCTCACCTTGGCCGCACGGCTCTTGCGGACCCGTTGCACCTTCTGCTGGAACTCGCGCTGCAGCTGCGGCTCCAAGGCCAGGAACGACGGGCTCGGGGCAGGAGCCACCGCCGCCATGCTGCACCCCTCGCCGCCGGAAGGACGTCACTACCCTCGCACGCGGTGTCGCGCGGCGGCGGGGGCGCGCAGGTGCAGAACAGCGGCGCGCTGTCTCCTAGCAACGGTGCGCGGCGCTGCGGATCGGCCCTCGCCCGCGTGACGTCGCGTGGCAACTCCCACACGGCAGCGGCGGCCTTCGGGAGAGGGCCTTGAAACGCTGGCAGCGCTGTCCCCTTCAGCCGCTCAGGCGCTGCGCTAGACAGCCCGGCACGGCGCGGTCAGGCTCAGCGAGGGACAGCCCCTGCGCCAACAGCATAGCAGGTCCCCAGCGTTGGCGGGAGGCCCCAGCGGCGGACGGGCGCTATGTCGGTGAGCGACATGTTCATCGCGCTGCAGGGCGTCCTCACCGCCGACCAGGACATCCGCGAGGTGCGCACGGGGCCGGGCGCGCGGGGGGCGGGCCGGGGGCGTCCGGTGCTCCCGTGACGCTGCCTGTCCCCGCAGGAGATCCGGAAGGTGGTGCAGGCGCTGGAGCAGACGGCCCGGGAGATCCTCACGCTGCTGCAGGGCGTGCACCAGGGAACCGGCTTCCAGGACAGTGAGTCCCGCACGGCCGCCCTCAGCCGCTGGGGGGCGGGAAGTGCCGTTCGAGGGGGGCGGGTCCCTCTGTCACGGGCGCCCCTCTCCCAGGCTTCGTGTGGTCGCTCGCGGGGTGTCCTGCGTGGGCTTCCCAGGGGCTGGAAAAGGGCGCAGCTGGGAGTTCTCGAGCCATGCGAGTAGAAAAGCTGCTATTGCATCCCCAGGGAGAGCCGCTTTTTCCCTTTCCCCCCTCCCTTGTCAGCTGTGTCGCTGTCTCGGTGCAGGAGAGCGTGCTTTTCTTAGAGGTGTTCGCTTTCTGGGCCGTTGCATTGGCTCCTATGTAGGATTGCCTTAAAGCGATGTGCACATGGATTTTTATGTTCTCGTAATTTTACCATCAACCGATGGCCTTTGTATTGCCTTCCTCACCTCTTCACCCTATTCCCCAATAAGCTGTGATCCTGAATGCTCTGGGAGTGCTCAGGATGGTGAGGGAAAGGGGGTCTCCAGTCTGGTTTGTATGAGACTGTGTGTATGTAAAATCTGCCCAGTGCTGTAAAATCTAAGGGGAATTTGCAAAGACCAGCAATAAAGCAGGAGTTGTCCTTGATGTACATTTGCCATACATGAGGGAATTGTTCTGCTGGTTTTGAGGTTTGGGTTGTAAGGAGCCTTGTTCCTTGCTTTCAATCCAAACTTGTGTAAGATTTTTGACATAATGTTTCTGGGCCAGCCTGATTCCTGCAGGGCACAAGAACAGCACTACAGACCTAGGTGTCAGATGTGCTCTTTCTGCTTCCTCCATCCCCACTCTTCAACTCACTGGCAAAACTACTGGAATAAACAGGGTTTTTTTCCTTAAATATATGACTTAAAAGTTATTTTTTTTGAGTCAGCGAACATCTCCTGAGAAGACAGAACCATCCTGACTTTCCTGGAAACTCTTGAGAGAGGTTTAGGAAGAGGAGAAATCTGTCAAGGCACTCTCTGAAGGTGAATAGAAGAATAAACCTCAGCAGGTGCTGCTTTATTCACCTGCAGAGCTGAGTGGTTGTTACCAGCCTGATGGCCTGCTGGTGGCCTGGGATTTCTCTGGCCCCTGAGAGGGTATGTGCTTAGCAACATGCAACTCCTGAGGTTTGACCTCTGCTGGCAAGTGCAGCTCCCACCTGCTTAGGGAATCTGTCTGTGGTAAAGATTACAACTGCTCATTGGTTAATTTACACAAGCATAAACTCAGTTTTCTAAGCTGGAAAACCTGTGGATGTTGTTTTGTGTGGGTATCAACTTCAGGGATTGCTTTCCAGCATTGAATAGTGGAGACCTTTGTCTGGCTCAGTGTATTTTCCATTGATCTTTTTTGAGGGGAGAGAGCTGGTCCTGGAATTTGCAGAGTCTGAGAACAGATTTAGAAGAGTTAAAAGTGAACACCAGAAAAAAAGCCTAATCTTATAATTCTTGTAATACCAAAGATAACAAATACATGCTTAGTGGGTTAGGCGTTAGCTCATGATAATAGACCTGTCTGTTTCTCATAATTTAGAAGAACAATAAAGCAAATCAAGAAAGATTAACAGCAAAATAATACAATGTCAGTTAGCAGAAGGATTGTTTGAGGGGTAAGTAGCGCTTGTCAGATGTCACATATTTAGATTGCAGTTTTATTTGGTTGTGGTTGTAGTTCTGCAGCATAGTGTGCTTAAATGTCTGTGTGGCTTTTCTACAGCATCTCATTGAGTCAGTACCAAAATTTGACTAAGAAACTGAAATGATACTTCCTTAGTAGATTAAAAAGGGATAAACAATGACTTGTAGCTATGAAAGAAAGGATTATTCATTGCAAAAGAGTTCTTGCGAGACTTTGTAGTATCAAGACTTTTCATAGAATCATAGAATAGTTAGGGTTGGAAAGGACTTTAAGATCATCAAGTTCCAACCCCCCCGTCATGGGCAGGGGCACCTCACACTAAACCATATCACCCAAGTCCTTGTCCAACCTGGTCTTGAACACTGCCAGGGATGGAGCATTCACAACTTCCCTGGGCAACCTATTCCAGTGCCTCACCACCCTAACAGGAAAGAATTTCCTTCTTATAGCCAATCTAAACTTCCCCTGTTTAAGTTTGAAGCCATTACCCCTTGTCCTGTCACTGCAGTCCCTAATGAAGAGTCCCTCCCCAGCATCCCTATAGGCCCCCTCCAGATACTGGAAGGCTGCTATGAGGTCTCCATGCAGTCTTCTCTTGTCCAGGCTGAACAGCCCCAACTTTTCTCAGCCTGTCTTCATACAGGAGGTGCTCCAGTCCCCTGATCATCCTCGTGGCCCTTCTCTGGACTTGTTCCAACAGTTCCATGTCCTTTTTATGTTGAGGACACCAGAACTGCACACAATACTCCAGGTGAGGTCTCACAAGAGCAGAGTAGAGGGGCAGGATCACCTCCTTCGACCTGCTGGTCACACTCCTTTTGATGCAGCCCAGGATTTGGTTGGCTTTCTGGGCTGCAAGCGCACACTGAAGCCAGCTCATGTTCATTTTCTCATCAACCAACACCCCCAAGTCCTTCTCCTTAGGGCTGCTCTCAATCTCTTCTCTGCCCAACCTGTAGCTGTGCCTGGGATTGCTCCGACCCAGGTGTAGGACCTTGCACTTGTTATGGTTAAACTTCATAAGGTTGGCATCAGCCCACCTCACAAGCATGTCAAGGCCCCTCTGGATGGCATTCTTTCCCTGCAGGATATCAACCGAACCACACAGCTTGGTGTCATTGGCAAACAGGTTTATATTTATTTATTCCAAGATATAAGAAAAACCATGAATCCTATCAGTAATCTATATTGAGCTATTAAAATATTAAATTATAAACTGGAAACTAATAAAAAAGCAAGAATACTATTAACTACTACAAGTTCCCGGGTGACAGAGTAGTGAATGATGCTGGGTGGCTGCAGCTGTGTTGCTGTGGCTGGTTGAAGCTGGTGCTGCTGCCAAGAGAGGCTGTAGAGCTTGTTGTACCCTGTCACCTGGGAGACAGCTTTCTTCCCCAGCCTGTTGGTTGATCGTTTATAATTCCTGTTCCATCATCTGTTGAAACAGAGTGATGAAAACTCAAGGAGGCGACAGAGAACTACTGAAAACAGGGAAGGGATTTGTACCAGGCTGAGCAGTCCCTCCTGCTAAAGAGAAGGGTAGGGGATGGAGTGAGCTCCGTTAATAGAAATATGGGTTAGTTGGTATTTGAAACATTGTCTTGCCCTCCCAGTGCCTTTCCTCTGTTCTCCAGGAGCTTAAAATACCTCCTAGTTAAATCTGTTTTCATTGAGTTTTCATCTAACCTCTTTTACTGCAGGGCAGACACCTACCTGCAGACAACAGCTGTTTGGTGGTGCTGACTTGACTGTGGTCTCTGCACTGAGTGTGAGACTGTGCTTTGCTGTGGGATACACACTTGCAGTTGTAGTCTTTATTTAGCTGTGGGGAAGGGAAGGAAAACCAGCAGAGCCTCAGGCCGTCATCCTCTGGAACACGGTTAGAGGATCTCCTTCAGCTTCCTCTTCCCTGTCCAAAATGGAATTTGAGAACTGCAGGGAGAGCTGTTCAGGGCAGGGTGTGCTGCAGCCTGCTGTTAGCTGACATGAATCTGAATGACAGATAGGGTCTTCAGAGGCTGAAAGTCAGCTTAATATGTCTTTGCTCTTGAACTACATTATGTCAAGTTTAGCCAAACATCAGTGGTGGTATCCAAGGAGGCAAGAGGATAGCTTGAAGTTGGGAGGCTATGTGTGTATCACTGAGCGCTTGTCTGAGACTTTCCTGTAAAGACTGCTTATTTTTGTCACAGGTTCCTTTGACAGAACTTTGTCCTCAAATGCTAGGTAATGGTTGACACAGCTGAGGCAGGCATCACAATTTGAGGATGGTGCTCAAAGGCTGGCTGTCAGTGAGCTTCACACGTCTCTTTCATTCTGGCTGTCACATAGAGCACTTTCACCTTCTGCATCCTGAAGCTTTTCTTTTTAAGTGCCCCCCCCCGCCCCCCTTTTTTGTTTGTTTTTTGTTGTTTTTTTTTTTTTTTAATAGAAGTTGTGCATTATTAATTGAAAGAAGCTTTTTAAGTATACTTAAGTGACTCTGGTAGGGCTTGTTTGATAGAAATCATCCATCAGAACTTTCTGATTTAGCTTCTATGCATCTTATTTAATCTTAGCTTCACAGTATGCTAGATATTGGAAGGGACCTCAAAAGATCATCTAGTCCAATCCCCCTGCCGGAGCAGGAACACCTAGATAATGTTACACAGGAATGTGTCCAGGCGGGTTTTGAATGTCTCCAGGGAAGGAGACTCCACAGCCTCCCTGGGCAGCCTGTTCCAGTGTTCCGTCACCCTCACTGAGAAGAAGTTTCTTCTCAAGTTTAAGTGGAACCTCTTGTGTTCCAGTTTGTACCCATTACCCCTTGTCCTATCATTGTTTGCCACTGAGTAGAGCCTGGCTCCATCCTCGTGACACTCCCCCTTTATATATTTATAGACACTAATAAGGTCACCCCTCAGTCTCCTCTTCTCCAAACTATAGAGACCCAGCTCCCTCAGTCTTTCCTCATAAGGAAGATGCTCCACTCCCTTAATCATCTTTGTTGCCCTGCGCTGGACTCTCTCCAGCAGCTCCCTGTCCTTCTTGAACTGAGGGGCCCAGAACTGGACACAATATTCCAGATGTGGTCTCACCAGGGCAGAGTAGAGGGGAAGGAGGACCTCTCTCGACCTACTAACCACCCCCCTTCTAATACATCCCAGGATGCCATTGGCCTTCTTAGCCACAAGGGCACAGTGTTGGCTCATGGTCATCCTGTCATCCACTAGGACCCCCAGGTCCCTGTCCCCTACACTGCTCTCTAACAGGTCGTTCCCCAACCTATGCTGGAACCTGGGGTTGTTCCTGCCCAGATGCAGGACTCTACATTTTCCCTTGCTTCTGTACATCAAGTGCAGGAGAGCCTGCCAGGGTGACCTACCTGCCTTGGGCTGTGACCAAGATTTCTGAGAAGGCCTCAGTTAAGAGATAGTGGTTTGATGAGGGCCTTGGTGCTGCAGGAGCAGTGTGGCTGTAAATTGTGTCAATAAACGGGAGGTGGCAGTGGGTGGCACATAAATAAGGGACCATTTTTCTGCAGAGCTATAACATCCATTGGTCAGGCTGAAACCCAGTTTCTTCAAATACATCACTCTGAAAGCAGGAAAAGCAGTTTCCTGAAGGGATGTTGCGCCTCATCTAACCTAAGTCTTATTCATAAGAAAAAAATATTCCAAGATTTTAAAATTGAGACAGAAAAGTTGCTTTTCTGTTTGGCAGCACTGCCCAGTGTGTGTGTGTGCTTTCTCCTGCCAGCTGCTGTGTGTAGTGCTGTCCTATTGCTTGTGGTCTAGTGGTTGCTTTTTCTTCTAAACCACTGCATGAGAGAACATCTTGTTTCTCTCTTTATAAAGCCTGCACAGCCCAGATGGCCACTCCTTCCTCTCACTCCATCCATACAGCTAGAACCTAAAATGTCCCATTATCTGCTCATGCCTGATCTCTGGCATGCCGCCTTTCTGCATCACAGTCCGCATTCCATCCACTCCGGATGGGTGGATGGGCTCATAGCATGGGGCTTTAACCATGTTGCTGCTCTTGTGACTCCCTCCCTTGCCCCTCAGATAACTTTTCCCATGATCTCAGCTCTTGCATATTTACAGACCCTCAGACAAAACTGCTCCTCTCCTACTTCAGATGAGGCCTCGCACTCAGTGTCCTTTCCAGCCTTTCTCCATCTCTACTTCTCATCTCTCCTCCAGCATTGCTCGTTTGCCACCCTGCTCAGTGCATTACCACATGCCTTTGTTCCCCAGAGAAACAACACACTGACTCTTATGTTCATCCATTCCTGCCTCCATCTTTTTGTATCTCCCATTGCCTTTTGGTCTGTGACCTTCGCAGAGTTTTCTTCTGTCAGTGCCCATTACAGAATGGGTTCTTCATCCATGACGTAAGTTTCATAGAAGTAGTAATGATTAGCAGTGATTCTTAAATAACACTGGGGCATCTTGGCTCAAGTTTGAAACTAAGGACTAGAGCAGATTAGACAGCGTGGAACTCAGGAGTGTTTCTCCTCTACCTGTGTGACTCATGGTGTGACAATGAGAATTTCTTAGATTGATTCCACATGTCAGTAGACTTCTCTTGGACAACAAAGGAGTGTAAATAGTACTGCCAACACGGGAAAACTCTCTGTTTACACAAACTCGCTCTCTGTCAAGTACTGAATGTTGCGCTGTTTCTTTTTCAGTACCTAAGAAATGTCAGAAGGCTCGTGAACACTTCGGTACAGTGAAAATACAGCTGGACTCTCTGAAGACCAAGTTTCCTGCTGATCAGTATTACAGGTGTGCAGGATCACACACAGCCAGACGTGGAAATGAGAATTGCCTGGGCATAGTTGGCAGTGTTACTTTGGAAGAATGATTTAAAGATTTATGGTCTGAATGCTTCTTTCTGTTTGAAAAGTAAATTGTAGAGGACTGTGAGGTTTTTAGCAGCACAGATAAAAAAAACTTTTGCTCAAACACTATTTATAACATTTCACTAAAAGAATATCTAGTATTTAATTCTTATTCTGGAAATTTTTTAAAAAAAGAAAACCAAAACTTTAGGAATTGATGTTTTGTTGGAGCTGCTTCTGGTTTCTGGGAGCAGAGCATTTGCTGGTCCATTAGTTTCAGTTAATTTGCTAGGTTTGGGGCATGTCTGAAAACAGCTCCAAATCTGTCATGAAATGGCTGTTTGATACTGCAGATACAAAATGAAGTTGTCACCTCTGTTTTGCTGCTGCCAGAAGGGGACAGTGTCTAGCAAGAACATTTCAAAGGACAAGTCTTGTCAGCTCAGATCTGCTGAGGGAAGATGGGAGAGAAGATGGTTGTCTTGTGGGCACGGCAACCTGAAAAACTCCATGAACCGAGTAGGTGTGTGAGGGGTGGAAGAAGGAATGCCAGCGTCCAGCATGGTGTCCTGGGGTGAAGTTCTGGAGCACCAAGGAGATGCCTTTAGGCTGGTGTTGTTTAGATAGGCCAAAAATATCACAAAGTGCTACATGTAAAGGTGGAAAACGTAATGTATACATAACATATGCTTGTTGCCTCGCTCTTCAGTAATAGATGTTACTTATGTATATGTTGACTTGGTGTTTTCTTCAACAGATTTCATGAGCACTGGAGGTTTGTGCTTCAGCGGCTGGTGTTTCTGGCAGCATTTGTAGTCTACTTGGAGTCAGAAACATTAGTGACCCGAGAAGCTGTTGCAGAAATACTTGGGAGTAAGTTAATATTCTAACAAAGAGAAAAGCCTTGTGACTTTTTTAGGCATAGCTTTCAGAGGTATAGGGAATCAGCAGAACTTCATTTCTTCCCAAGAAATCTTCCATGTAGATTATTAATTCAAATTGCATAAATGTACCGAAAGAGTAATGCAGAGATTAAGCTCAGTTCTCTCACTTTTTGGTGTCTAAAAATGTAGAAAGATAAAATTCTGATGCTGTAAGAGAATTGTGTGCTCCCAGAGCAAAGGATTTGAAAAAAAACCAAACCAAAACCACAAAACCAAAACCAGAATATATTTCTAAAAACTGAGCCAGACCTCATACACCCTCTCTGGTGTATGGATATAAATTCAGTTATTGTTGGATCAGTTACAACCTGTTGCATGTCCAGCTGAGGACATATGATACGCTAAATCAAAATGTGGAGGAGAGGCAGTAATTACATCACATGCAGGGAAAGGCTGACTTTTCTTTTGTAATGGTATTTCATAATCTTGATATTTTAAATGAGCTCAGTGAACAAACACAGTTTCAACTAGCTGGGTTTGCTCATGTTCAGCACCACCTGATTACCATTCTGGTTTTCATCTTAGTTGAAGCTGATCGAGAGCGGGGCTTTCACCTGGACATTGAGGACTATCTCTCTGGTGTATTAACTCTCGCCAGTGAGCTGGTAAGGAAGATACTCATGCATAGCTTTGGATTGAAACTGACCTAGAAAAATAATGTGTTTTCTAAGCTTCCCAAGTTGTTCCTGGAAGTTACGAAACACAAGGCCTCGATCTGAACTTTCAGCAAACCACCTCTCTGTGTGCAAGAGTGGTGCCTCACTGATATTTTAAGATTTAAGCTAGTCACTTGATTGAAAATCCAGGATCACGGTCAACAGAAAAGTAGATCTAAGGATAAATAATCTGACTGCCTGGAACAAAACTGCTTCATTTGGTAAAGTAAGTGATGGGATTGGGGATGTGATTTGGGTGGGTTCCTCCACTGATGTTCTCCCTGCATGTTGTCTTCTCATAGTCTAGACTGGCAGTGAACAGTGTCACGGCTGGTGACTATTCTCGCCCTCTCCGCATCTCAACTTTTATCAACGAGCTGGATTCTGGCTTCCGTCTCCTCAACCTGAAGAATGACTCCCTGAGGAAACGTTACGATGGCCTGAAATACGATGTTAAGAAAATTGAGGAAGTGGTTTACGACTTGTCAATCAGAGGACTCAATAAGGAAGCAACACCTGGTGCAGGTGGAGAGAAATGAAAGATGCTCATTTTAACAGCATCATCGATTACCTCAGATGGTTGCCAATTTAGGAAGCATGCTAGCAAAGTCTTCCTACAGTAGTTTAGAAGAACTGCAGCTAAAAGCTGCTCTCTATTTTCTTACAAAAGGTGTAGTACGGATGTTAGATCCTCAAAATGTTTTGTAAACTTATATCTAGATTAGGGCAGGAGGCTCTCCGTTTCCAGTGGAGTTCCTCTGTCAAAACACAGGGTGCTGTTCTGTGCACAGCAGCAATAGTAGTCAGTAACACCTGTGAGCTGAAATACATTCTCCCTAGTTCCATAGTGGTGTTTCACTGCTGCAGCAGCGGTGTGCTTCAGCTGCCCCTTCTCACCCACCTCAGAAGACATGTGCAGAGCACGCTGCTCGCTGCAGATATGTGTCATGCTTTACAAACCACAGTGTGTAAATAGGTAAACTTTTTTTTAAGACACTGATTGGGATTTTTGCCTTTTTGTTAATTTTCACCTCTGTCATTAAGTTGGACAGATTCACGTAACTCTATTAACCACATTTTTTTTAATGGCTTCTGTTAATGTATCTCGCTTAAGTGAGAAATCAGTGAAGATATTACTGAGAATTTCTCCATTGGAACTGGTGCGTTGCCCCCAGGCACATTTTCTCTAGGTTTTTTCCTTCCTCCAAGATTTCTGTTACCAGGGAGAGCAAGGACCTGCCTTCCCTGGCTGGTATTTGTTTTACTGACATGAGCAAATGCTGAGTTTTAGTATGATCATTTGCCTTGAGAACTCAGTGTAAGCCATTTTTATTTTTAACTACCATGATTTCTGAATAGAGAAATGTTAACAGATAAACTGCAGGGAGAGTCTGAGTTTTAACACTCTAGATAGGCCACAACTGTACCTGTGTCCTGGGATGAAAAAAGAAACACACCAGAACTATAGTTTGTGTAGTAAAATGTTTGTATCCTTAGAAAAGAGGGAATTACTAGTTTCAGACACTTTGCATGTAAAGTGTTTGCAAACACCAACAGCCTCTTTTCCTTTGTCTAAAAGGGCACACTGGTACCCTGCAATGTGTTTGTTCTCTTGTCCTAAATGAGAGTTTCGTCATTCTTCTGGTGGCACAGCAGGGGGTAAGGAGACAAATGTAATTTCTTTAGGAGGAATATTTCCAGAGGAAGAAACTGAAAAGTAAAGTTTGTGGGTTTATTAGCATCTCATTTTGTTAGCAAAGATTTACCAGTGTTTGAGTTAGGGAATTGTTTTGTTTATTGAAAGAAAATGGTTTCTTGGTTATTTTGGCCAATAAAAGCTGTTCTTTGATTTTGGCCATTTGGTAACTGTTGGCCTGTTGTCTGATTATTTGTTCTTTGCTTCCCTTTCTGGGAGCCTACTCTAAAATTAAGCTGGGTCAATAGGAAAATTGTTCAGTGGTGTGCTCTTGCCCACTGGCAAGTGAAGCCAAACTCAAACTGCAGACAGATTTCATTGGCATTTTTTAAACTATTTTTAACCTATTTGACCTGTTTCACCAAGTAGAGCAGGGGTATGGAGTTTATCATTGCCAAATCCAAGATGTGGCAGGGTTCATCTTCAGAGCATCTCATAATCTTTCATGTTTGTCCCAACCCTTTGTTTGTCTCATGTCTTGTAACATAGGGAGGTGGTAATATCCCTCTTTCTCAGCTGAAGAAGATGAGGGTGTACCTTCCTAAGCCTCATGGCAATGAGACCAGCTTTCAAAGTAGTTTCAAAGTAGCCACTGTTTACTTCTTTCTTGCTTTAACCCTGTGGAGGTGGGAGGAAGGAAGGAGCTTAAGCCAGTTCTACTGCCAGAACCAGAGACTAGGGGTAAAACAGCCATGGTCACACAGGAAATGGATGGGAGCAGGGGAATTAGAGAAAGGTTTCCTGGGCATCAGTCTGGTGTCTCAGGTTGGAAGATTCCTGGGGTGTGAGGCCACGTGGTGGGGCAGTTTCTGTTGCAGGGCAGGCGTTTGTCAAGGGTTTGTGCTAGCTTGTGTCCCAGGTGCTCCAGTTTCATTGGTCATGCAACAGGCCTGCTTCCTGGCATGGGATGTCAAGTAATGGGATGCCTAGAACAGCTTTTCAGTAGATCCTAAGTGTGCCAGCTCTTGCATCTTATGTGGTTTCTGAGAGCTGGTGGAGATAACAGTGCTGTGCCCCAGGTGCAGATACTGTGGGAGGGACAACTGGAAGAGCAAGTCCTTTACTTAGGTCTTACAAAGCCTGCAAGGTGTGGATCCTGTCTACGGCTCTGTGAAGAGCAAGTGCTTAAGAAAGGAACACAGCACTGGGATGTCCCTGGAGGGTGTTTAACACACACCTTGTTCTGACCTATTCCAGGTTTTGGGGGAGACTACCATCTTCCTCTGGAGAAAGCACCATTTCCAGGAGCCAAGCTGCATGGTGCATTCCTAGGCTAGCTCTAGGGAAAGGAAAAGAAAACTGCAAGCTTTCTCCCTAGAGTGCAGCAAGGAGAAGCAGGGACATGCTTCTTGTAGTTTCCTCTGCACAGAGGTAGCCTGTAGGACCTTGTGGCCTCAATTGCTGCACATTACATTGGTCCTGCATGTTGTGTGTCTGTCCCAGAGCTGGGAGCAGGGGGAAGAAGGGAAGACTCAGAAGGACTCGAGGTCTTTCTAGTCTCCTCTGAGAGACTTTTCTGACCCTTTTCCCAGGGGTAACAGCAGCAGGTTAGCCAGCAGGGAATGGCAGTGAGAGACAGAGCTGTGAGGACTGCAAAAGCTTGATGGCTGACGAATTGGATGCACTTGAACAAATAACTGCTGTTGGTACTAAATGGACTGCGCAGAGTGTGCTGGCAGCTGGCGAGGAGTGAGTCAGCGCCGGAGCGCTGGAGAGTCTGACTCAACAGCCAGCACGGCTGTTCTCTGAGCCACTTCAGTCTCAAGTGTGTGCCAGGGAGCGCTCTCTTGGATTGTCTCTGTATGCACTCACTGGTTTGCTGGTTTTTTGTTTTTTTTCCTCATCTTGATGTCATTTTTGTGTTTTTTATTTCAGTAAAAAGGGCACTTAGTTGATTAACTGCTCATTATTTACAGCTCTGCCTGTTCAACTCCTGCAGATCAATGAAAGTGCTGACCTGAAACCATTTGGGAAGTAGGGGTGAAGAGAACTCCATGGCACAGGATGCAGGGCAGACCATGGGTCTGGCTGCGGAACTGGGCTCAGTCTGATGGAATTAATTAACTGCAGCCAACATCCAGGCACCTCTTTAAACTGGCACTCATTAAAGGACACGTTATCACCTCTACATGGCCTTTTTCTTTTGCCAGCACACGTCTTTGTGCAGTGAGCTGCATCAAGGAACAGAGCTAGCCGAAACAATATTTTTCAGCAGTGTGTGCTCACAATCTGGTTCACTGCTCAGTCCCGCGCATGCTGTTCCAGTGTGTGGAGGGAGGCTTCTTCCTCCCCCTGGTGCCTGCTTGAAGTGTTCACTGAACTGTAACACTAGGTGGTAAACTGATTTTTCTTGCAGTAATTTAACTGCTTCCTGCTTTGTTAGGATTGCCAAGGATTGCCTCTTTGGGTAAATAATCTGCCTTCGTTTTACTGCAAAGCAATGATTTCTGTGCTATAGAGCCTCACTTGCATTTTTCAGCCAGTAAAGTCTTTACACACTGAGGCAATTAAGGAGGGTGGAAAGTGAACATAGAATCATAGAATAGTTAGGGTTGGAAAGGACCTTAAGATCATCAAGTTCCAACCCCTGTGTCTTGGACAGGGACACCTCACACTAAACCATGTCACCCAAGGCTCTGTCCAACCCAGCCTTGAACACCACCAGAGATGGAGCATTCACAACCTCCCTGGGCAACCCATTCCAGTGCCTCACCACCCTTACAGTAAAGAACTTCCTCCTTATATCCAATCTAAACTTCCCCTGGTTAAGTTTTAACCTGTTACCCCTTGTCCTATCACTACAGTTCCTAATGAAGAGTCCCTCTCCAGCATCCCGATGGGCCCCCTTCAGATACTGGAAGGCTGCTATGAGCTCTCCACACAGCCTTCTCTTCTCCAGGCTGAACAGCCCCAACTTTCTCAGCCTGTCTTCATACAGGAGGTGCTCCAGTCCCCTGATCATCCTCATGGCCCTCCTCTGGACTTGTTCCAACAGTTCCATGTCCTTTTTATGTTGAGGACACCAGAACTGCACACAATACTCCAGGTGAGGTCTCATGAGAGCAGAGTAGAGGGGCAGGATCACCTCCTTCGACCTGCTGGTCACGCTCCTTTTGATGCAGCCAAATACAGATGATTCCTGGAGTGTGTGTGTGGATACTGACCCCATTATCCATCAGCAATCCATCTTCCCTCATTAAAGTACTGTCTGTTGGTGGATGCTGCCATGCAACTGCACTAAAACGTGTAGGGCTGTTCAGTGAGCCTCCTGCCTGCTGAATTCATACAGTGTCATTAAACAAGTTGATACTGAAAGGAATAGTCCTTTGCGGTATATATCTTCTGTATGTACGTTGCAGGTCAGGCATGAATTACCTGAAGATGTGTATCTCCTTCCAGGTTTCTCTGCCTGTTGTCTCTTCAAACTGTGGCACTTCTGGTGTACACTGGTTAGCCATCCCTGGACCATTGCCCTGCCCAAGGGGAAGATGGCTGTCCTTAAAACAGCCCTTTCTTGAACAGAGGATTTCCTTGTTTGAATGAAGTACACTCCTTGTCCGAATGCCTGTTCACCTGCATATTCATGCTACAGGTGTACAAACATCTAACCTGCTTCTGTTGGGCAAAATGCAAGAGCCTGACCCTTGCAAGGGTGATGTTTGCTCCACAGGAAGCGTGCTGGCTCCCATCCCAATAGGGAGAGCTGTCTAGCTGCCTCTGGGTCTGCACTGCAGCCCTGCACAGCTCCCACAGGCTTCTGTGAAGTCTGACAGCCACCAGAGCCTGATGGAGACTTCAACAGGGACTGCAGAAAGCCTATAGGAAAAACAAAGCCCAAGATTTCAGCCCCTGTGAGATGGTTTGGAGCTATAGAGGCCTTGTGCTCTTTGCATGTTCTGGTTAGTGCAGGCTTCAGTTATGGGATCTGCTCTGTGACTGTGGCTTTCCATCTGCCAGCCCTCCCCACAACACCCAGAGAGATGTTTGATGCAGGTCCTCCCAAGGATGTGACTCTGGCACTGCAAGGGAGGTTCCTGCACTAGGAAGGAAGGGTTCAAAGCCACCTGGTATTCCACTGCCACTGAAACAAAGGGTTTCTTCCCCTGCTGGCACCTTCCCTGGGAGGGCTGTTTACAGTCTGAGCTGAGATGCAAAGCCTGCAGTGGTGGAGATCACACTGGGACAGGATTTGAACCAGACAGTTGCAAATTATTGTTACACTCGTCCTTGCTGATGGATCTAGTGCCTAGTGCCAGCTTTTCTACGTGTGCCAGCTGAGTAACTGCTCCCACTCAAGCTGGAGTAGAGACCGGTGCTGGAGGATGCCCTGCCTGTGCTCTGATTCCTCGTTAGGGTTCCTCACTCTCTGTTGAAGAGGACCCTCTATGTTCTTATCACTCAATTTTACCATCCATGTTGTATAAAGTTTTCCCCTGGGGAGCCCCTTCAGCTTCCTGAAGGAGATGTCTTGTTCTAGTAAGTGCCCTTGGGGCTTGCCTGGAGTTTTGCGGTTTTGGACTGCACAGTGTTATTGTCAAAACTGATTTTATTCTTAACTGCTTGTACCTGTCTCCAGTTATTCTGCAGCAGCCTCTGTAAGAAATAAGGCAGTTGCCTTTGTCCACCTGATCAGCGAGATTTTGTGCTCTCACACTCCACTCTAGTGACAGGAAGTCACTCAACAATGACAGTGAGATCTCTGAATATTTATCTGATCTCTGGCAGGAGAACAGTTTCCTTCATTGCTTTTGGTTCCAGGTTTTTCCAATTTCAAGTCAGAGAATGTCAGCCCAATTCCAGCAGAATTTCACCTGGTTCCTCAGCATACGTTTTAAAGGAGACACAGTTGACATCATGAAATAAGAGTTATTACAGCTGCCTTATCCATGAGCCCTGAAGGGATATCTTTGACTTGGTGCTAGAAGATTCAAATTATCTTCCCTTTGAGCATGTCAGGAACAAGCAAGAGGATTCACCAGAATCTCCTGCTGGAGATCTGTCTTCATGTGACTTTAGCTCCATAATAGATTCATATGTATTGCCTAACTGAAGTTCCCCAAGACAGGCGATCCAAGAGGATCTCAGAGCTTTTTTGGGTATTTGGGGTGTGCTGAGGTCAATCTTTCAGTCTCCAGTGACAGCTAGAGTAGTTTCTTGCTGCCAGACCAAT